CGTGGGGGGCAGCAGCAACAGGTGGCAAGTGGCATGAGTGTCAGTGAGGGGGGATTGGAGGCTGGTGACAGGGACCATGACAGGTCTGAGGCGGAGACTGGTGGTGGTGGGTTGCAGGGGCATGGGGCACGTGAGGGAGGATGTGGGGGGCAGCAGCAACAGGTGGCAAGTGGCATGAGTGTCAGTGAGGGGGGATTGGAGGCTGGTGACAGGGAGCATGACAGGTCTGAGGCGGAGACTGGTGGTGGTAGGTTGCGAGGGGGTCCAATAGCTGTCAAGGAAGAAGAGGCAGCCCAGTCTGTATCAACTTCAAGAGGGTCTAACCGTTCAGGGGGGGGCCCTAGGAATGGAGTGGTTGACCTTGTGTCCAGCAGTGTGTCTGGTGGGGATGGGGTTCCAAGTGAATCGTCAGAGGGCAGTAGTGGGAACAGTTCAGGGGAGGGGCCTAAGGATGAAGTGATTGACCTTGTGTCCAGCAGTGTGTCTGGTGAGGATGGGGTTCAAAGTGAATCATCAGAGGGCAGGGGTGGGAACAGTGGGGAGGAATCGGAAATTCCGTCGTATATGATTGAGACATGTATTATTGATGGTGGAAGAATTCAATGGGAGGAAGAGAATGGGGAGGAAGTGCCCCCACCAGAGAGGATTGGAGAGGATGGGTTTTTGTACCAGGACCTGCCGGGTGGCATGGTAGTGCGGGCAATAGCTTGCTACAAGGAGAAAGATGGAGAAATCAGGTATATATGGAAGTTGATGGATAGGGAAAAATGGTGGCCTGAGTGATGCCCCATGTTTACCCATCCAGTTGCCACCACAGCAATGACTATACTGCCACAACTGCTCAGGAGAGTGTGATATTTTGGTATGGAGTTGGACTCAGGAGATACTTGTTCAAGGTCTTGAGTTCTGCTTGAGTTGTGATAAGGGCTTTTGAGGTGGTCAGATATGGCAGACAAACTTGAAAGCCATGTGTGTAACTGTTCATTATCTAAAAGGTTTGGTCCATTTTCATGAAATGATCCCCCATTCTGCCAAAACCAGCACCCATTCCTTGACATCAGCCCCCATTCCTTGGAATCAGCCGCCATTCCATGGAATCAGCCCCCATTCCATGGAATCAGCTTCTATTATTAGGCTTCAGCCCCCATTCAACGGAATCAGACCCCATTCAACGGAATCAGCCCCCATTCCATGGAATCAGCCCCCATTCCATGGAATCACCCCCATTCCCCGGAATCGCCCCATTTCCCGGAATCGCCCCCATTTCCCGGAATGGCCCCCATTCCCCGGAATCGCCCCTATTCCCCGGAATCGCCCCCATTCCGTGCAATCAGCCCCCATTCCATGGAATCAGTCCCATTCCATGGGACCATCCTTCATTGTATGGCTTCAGGTACTTGCCAAGCTGGGAGGGGTATGGGAGGACTTGCCTAGCTACAGGTGAGGGGTTTGGGGGGCCTGTCTGTGTGGTTAAGAGGGTGCTTGCCTGCCTGAAGGGGTGGGGAGTGGCTACCCTTTTCTGGGTGGGCACAAGATGGCTTGCCTGCCTGCAGGGGGGGGGGTGAGTGCCTGCCCGGCTGGGTGGGCATGGGGGACTGTAGGTTGGGCCTGCTGGGTGGGGGTGAGATGTATACCAAGCCAGCCAGTAAAACATCACATATATGCATCAATAAAGCTATCTTAAGGCTAATTGGATGAAGATACTTACAAAATATGTCTGGGGAGCGCTAAAGTCATCCGGTCAAAAGTTGTGGAAGTGTTGACCAAACTTTGACCGGCCATAACTTTTTACCTGGGGGGGTTTTGATATATTTTCTTTTTGGAAATAGAATCTACATGAAAAATGCTGTCGATTGGTACCCTTACCGAAGAAAAAGTCTGAAAAACACCTATGGAAAACTCCCCAGTAAACCCTAAAACCCTAAAACCCTAAAACCCTAAAACCCTAAAACCCTAAACCCTAAAACCCTACAACCCTATCTGAAACCCTAAATAACCATATAACCCTAACTGAAACCCTAAATAACCATATAACCCTAACTGCAACCCTAAATAACCATATAACCCTTACTGAAACCCTAAATAACCATCTTTTCTGAAATTCGGTTATCGTTACCATTTATGATAATTTGTTATGCTAAAATGTATGCTAAATATTACGCTAAAAAATATTCTTAAATTATCCTAACTATTACCCTAAGTTGGCAGCTCATTTCGCCCTTTGTGTGCCTGCCGCTCGCTTTCCCTTGCTCCTTCCCACAGGCAAAACGCCATATCAGGAAATGGGGCGATTTAGTGGAATGGGGTGATTTGGGGAAATGGGGTGATTCCGTGGAATGGGGGGCGATTCTGGGGAATGGGGTGATTCTGGGAAATGGGGTGATTCTGGGAAATGGGGTGATTCCCGGAAATGGGGTGATTCCGGGAAATGAGGTGATTCCGTGGAATAGGGTGATTCTGTACAATAGGGCGAATTCCATGGAATGGGGTGATTCAGTGGAATTGGGTAATTCAGTGGAATGGGGTGATTCTGTGGAATGAGGTGGTTCCTTGGAATGGGTGAAGTGGCATGAAGGGGGAGGGGGTTGTGCAATTGGCTATGTGCTGTTGTTGGCAGCAGGCAAGCTATGTGTGGGTGCAAGTGGCAGGAGAGGGGGAGAGGCTTGTGCAATTGGCAGGGGGGAGGAGGGCCTAGATAGCTGGCAGAATGCAAGCAATATGTTGTTGGCAGTTGGCAGTAGACAAGCTATATGTGGGTGCAAGTGGCAGGTGAGGAGGGAGAGGCTTGTGCAAATGGCAAGGGGGGGCTGGGTTGTTAGCATCAGGCAGGCACCTAAGTTGATGCAAGTGGCAGGAGAGGGGTGAAAGGCTTGTACAAGTGGCAAGGGGGGAGGCTGGGTTGTTAGCAGCAGGCAGGCCCTAAGTTGGTGCAGTGGCAGGAGAGGGGGGGGGCTTGTGCAATTGGCAGGGGGGATGCTGGGTTGTTGGCAGCAGGCAAGCTATTTAGGGTTTGCCTGCCTGCAGAGGGAGGGACTTGTCTAGCTGCAGAAGAGGAGGTGGGAGCCCTGCCTTGGTGGGCAAGAGGGGGCTTGGCTACCTGAAGGGGTGGGGGCTGGTGCCTCTTCCTGGGTGGGCATTTGGATACTTGCCTGCCTGCATAGGGAGGGTGAGGCCTGCCTGGGTGGGCATGGGAGGACCTGCCTAGCTGCAGGAGACGGGGGGGGCCTGCCTGGGTGGGCAACAGGGGGCTTGGCTAAGAGGAGAGGGTTTGGTGCCTGCCTGCCTGGGTGGGGATTAAGGAATTGCCTGCCTGTATGAGAGAGGGTCGGTGCCTGCCTGCCTGGGTAGGCACAAGATGGCTATCCTGCCTGCAGGGGGGGAGGATGAGTGCCTGCCTGGCTAGGTGGGCATGGGGTACTTTGGGGTGGGCCTGCTGGGTGGGGGTGAGATGTATACCAAGCCAGCCAGTACAACATCACATATAGGCATTAATACAGCTATCCTAAGCCTAGTTGGGTGATAATACTTGCAAAATATGCCTGGGGAGCACTAAAGTCAGCCGGTCAAAGTTGCGGAAGTGTTGACTAAACTTTGACCGGCCATAACTTTTTACCTAGGGGGGACAGTGATATATGTTTTTTAAGGATTCGGAATCTACGTTGAAAATGCTGTCGATTGGTACCCTTTTTGGAAGAAACTGTCGTTGGACGCCTTTTGAAAACCCCCCAGTAAACCCTAAAACCCTAAAACCCTAAAACCCTAAAACCCTAAAACCCTAAAAACCCTAATTTCCTAAAGTCGGTTATCCTAACCATTTATGATAATTTGTTATGCTAAAATGTATGCTAAATAGTACTGTAAAAAATATTCTGGACTTATCCTAACTATATACCCTAAGCCGGCAGCTCATTTTGCCTTTGTGTGCCTGCCGCTTGCTTTCCCTTGCTCCTTCCCACAGGCAAAACGTCCTATCGAACGCCAAGATCTTTGCAGGGCTTCAATGCGTCCGTCCTTTGGCTACAAATTGAAGCGTGTACCACATGTAAGTGTGTTACAGCCGTACCAACGTTTCTGTTCCACACTTTGCACCGTCTGCTCTCTAACAACACTTACAGCCTTTGGCACTCTTGAGTCTATGGCCTCATGTCGCCTGCACACGGTCCCCATAGCCGTTGGCTGTTTACCTGTGTGGCGGTTGGCTTTCCTTGCCTGTCTTAGTATGACCATCCCCTCCTGCATTCCCTTCCTTATCCCCCAGGTTCCTGTCTTTGCTACATGGCCAGTTCCATTCTCTGGCGGGAACGAGATCACTTTGGTCAAGGACCTCGCTGGCCCAGCTAGAGGAAACTGGATTGTACCAAAGCAAGTTGGGAGGCTGCTCAGGAGTAAAGGCGTTGGCCTATCCGACGCTATGCTACATTACAAGATACCAGCACCACGCCGGTTCACCACTACAGACCCGGTGCTCCTTGGGGCGCTGCGAGGTTCCGGTGTCATCGACGTCAAGGCAAGGGCCGTCACCTTGGCAACATGTGCAGCCTTTGCCAAGGTCCTTCGATGTTACACTCTGGGAAAACCAGGGTCCACCCATTCGTAAAATGGGGGTCTACCTTTCCGTATTTTGACCCCATTTTACGGAAGGGTATCTTCCGTAAAGGCGGACAGAGAATACGGAAAGGGATACGAATGGTGGGGAAAGGTTTACGAAGTGCCTGTAATGCAGGAGTCCCACGGTTACATGCACTAGAGTGAATGTGAACACTTCCGCATAGTGTCCGGAGCACGTGTAGCACAAACAGGCGGTAGCATGCTATGCCCCCTGTACCTCGAATACGGAAGCAACTCTCATTTTACGGATGGGGACTGCAAGAATACGGCACTATTATACGGATGGAATACGAAATTTTACGGATAGCCCACGAGGGAATACGGAGCCCTGTCAGTAAGGATACTCAGCTTGTTAGACAATCGTAGGAGATGCGTCATATGATTTTGAACTCCACCATTTCGTTACATGGTCAGAAGCTGCATATGAGCCTAGTCCCTTCCTCCTTTTTACGAATGCTCACCACCATTATACGAAGGGACCACGCCCCTGGAAGCCCCACGCCCCCAATGCAATCCATAAGCTAGCTTACCATAGTCCAATATCTACTCCATTGCCTATCTATATCAAACATCTTGCCTACAGTCCCTGAACTAACCTACTCCAACGCCCCTGCAACGAAATAGGATCATGCACGTCAAAAATTGCAGGTAGATAAGAAGTATGGTCATGGGTATCAGGTTTGTGCTATCAAGTCATCCAAGCTTATAATAATAAATCATCCAAGCAATCACGGCCAAACCAATACAAAAGGTACACCACGTGAAGCCAACCCAACCCAACTTTGGATCACCTATCTACGAACCATGTTTCCACTCACAGCTACTCTATGCCCATTGCAAACAACCTACTCCCAGTCTGCCTCTATCTAGCGGTTAGCCCGCACACGCCGAGACTGGCCACTCGACCCAGTTCCTGCCTTGGGCACCTTTGCCGCCCCAACTGCTGCCTGCTGCTTCTTACCCCGCTGCTGCTGCTGCTCTAGTTCCTGCTGCCTACGGTCCTGCTGCCGGTTTCCGCCCGCCCGTTCGCCGCTGCTGCCACTGCTTCCACCGCCGCTGCTGCTGCTGCTGTCATCCGATGTATCCCGGACACTCACGTCATCCTCCTGCCCCTCCCCAGTAGACTCCCCGCTTGCCTCCTCGTCGTCCTCCATTTCCTCGTCACCCCCATCCTCCTCTTCTTCCGACTCAACCACTGCCGCCACCCTCCCCCCGCCCCTGCCGCCCCGCCCACGCCCTCTTCCACCGCCAACTTCTCCCCTCCCGCTACCACCACCACGACCGCTCTTCGCCACCTTAGCAGCCCCGGTCCGCTGCTTCTTCCTGCCACCACGGGCTCCGAGGTCGTCATCCAGACCAGACGCCCGCTGCCGACCCCGTGGCGCACGCTGCTGCACTGGCGGCTCGACACCAAAGACATCCAAGTTAATCAGCGCCAGATCCGGCTCCTCCTGCGGGACAACATGGGATAAGAAAGGGGCGGTTCAGCACATTGCACCCAATACCCGTTTCAAATGCTCAGAAGATGCGAGCTGTGTGAGCCATGCAGTCCTTAGCCAAATGTCTACCCACGAAGGCTTCACATTGACGTACCTCTTCGTTGCTGTGCGCTGTGGTGGCCGCCGCACCAGGCTGGGCCGCACCTTGATCCTGAAGGGCCCATTATAGGCAGCATGTAACTGTTAACCGCAAGCAAGCATACTCTCAAACAAGCCATGTGATTGTAAGATCAAGGTCACCAGAATAGTCCTTCCCACGGCTCCCCCCCCCCGTATATGCTCACCAAGGGCGCGGCCACTCCCTCACCAGCACCTCCAGCACCCCCTGCGGCACCGCCTGTGGCGCCACCAGCAGCACCGCCACCTCCGTCGACCTCAATCCGAACGCCTACGCCACCAGCCGTGTTGGGGATTGTGTTGACGGACGGAGGCTCCGGCGCGATGCCAAAGAAGCGCCGCGCCAATGCCACCACTGGCCGAGCGGGCGGATTGCCTGCATATGGCGCCAGTGTGTTACGTAAAAAGCACGTTCTTTGCGCTGGGAAAACACCACTGTGGTTGCATGTCCCCAGTGAAAGCAAGCGCCCACCCTACGCCCGAGACCCAAGCAGCCGTTGCATGTGACCCACCAGATTTCCTAGCCGCCCGGTACTGGTTGATAAGCTCCCCAGCTTCCCTGTACGAGGATGAAGCTCCCACCGCCAGTAGCAGCCCCAACGGTGCGATTGGAGCATCCTTCTTGCACAGCGCGCCAAGGCGCCCAGCGTACTGCAAGTACATGGACTGCCGAATCCTCGCGGCGGCCCTACCAGCATTGCCCTTGATAGGGCACTTGTTCAGCAAGTCGATAGGGTACTGTCCCTGCCCGTCCTTGCTGTACAAGAGCCCCGCCTCCAGTACGTACTGCAAGTGGGTGCATTGGGTGGACCTACCCCTTACGCCCTCCATTGCCGCTGCAACCTCCTCATCCGCCTGTGGCATGAGTGGCAACGACACGACACGAAGAATAACTTGGCCGGTACACTGTGTTGGGTATAGAATGTCGCAAAGGAACAAGCAAGCAGTCACCATACACTGTCCCATGCACAATTATCGGGCAAATCTAACATTACGCCTTCCTAACATTATGAATCATACCCTTATCTGTGCCCATATGTACAACATACCGTATCCGAGCCCACGCCCCGTCCTCGTTAACGGCAAAGCTGCCGCATACTAGCATGGTGCACTTGAATTCCTCCAATGCCGCCACGACATCCGCGCGGCAACAAAAGCGCCGCAGGACATGGTCCTTAAGTACCAGAGCGATGCTAGCAACGATCCGCGCACTCTGTTGGCTCGCGCCACCCTCTGTGGGCGAACATTGACCAGCGACATTGTTAAACAGAGTCCTTACTGCAAGTCCGCATACAAGTGTTGCAACTGGAATATGTCCTACCTTCATAAAGGAAGAAGGTATCAGCTGAACCGTTTTGAAGAGCAGCCGCCAGGGAGTCCTCGTTCCATGGACACATGGCAAGCGGGAGCCTGTCATGCAGGCACGTTCCCTCCACGGACTTTGATACTATTTCCAGCATAATGTTCTTAGGAAAGGACGGAAGGTTGACGTCCATAGGAGCCGCGCCCGTCGCCAAGGCCATTGTTGACCTCACAAGCTAAAATCCTATTTACCAGTGAACATGACTTTCTATCGCAATAGTATAGTATGTCTAAATAGCTATGTGGATATGACTATGAAAGGAAGAGTCCGGGCGCAGTTTGAAGTATACTCGGTGTGGTACAGCATGTAAACATACAAACCCCAGATTGCGATTCGCTAACTATATTGATATACATGATATACTGCAAGCAAGTATGACCATCTCGTGTAACTGGTGGACCTTTACAGGAATAGTGGGTGGCTGCAATGGGACATGCGGTTGTGCTTCCCTTCCCTTCCGCTGCTGGCTATCTGGCAAGGGGCAGGGGCAGCCCCACGTGGGTGGCTTTAATGGTTCCGCTTCGTTCCCTTCCGTTCATCCCCTTCCGCTGCTGGCTATCTGGCCAGGGGAAGGGGGGACTGCTTAGGACCTGTGCTACCTAGATGTGGCTGCTATGCATGCATGCTTCCCTGTGCAATTCAGGGGCAGTGAGTGGCTGCAATGGGAAGTGCGGTTGCGCTTCTCTTCCCTTCCGCTGCTTCCTAACCCACCCTACCTCCCTTGATGTTCCTCCCTCCTTCCCCCCCCCAGTACGAGCCTGGAAAGGCAAGGGCTGTACACTCCGTGAAGGAGATCAGGGATGCTCCCCTTCACCAGCATCTAGCCGAGGTCACTGGCAGCATAGACGACGGCCTGATCAGATATTGCGGCAACCTGACCCTGGTGCATGCACTGCGGTATGGCGGTGGTGCGACACAGGGGTAAGAGGGGTTTATTCTGTGAATGTGGGGATGTGAGGGCTGCCGACCACGGCTAAGCATGCGTGCACCGTGGGAGAACAGAGGATGCTATTGTCAGTGATAACAGGGGATACTGCTGTCAGAAAGTACACAACTTACATACCCACGGTACCTCCATTTCTACCACCATTCCTTTACCTGTTCGCCACGGATTTTGAAGCATGCGCCTTCACCTCTCCTTGCCATCACCGGGGCCTACACAACCCCTTGCCAAACAGGCCAATCTCGGATGCCGAGGCGCTGAACCCAGGGCGAAGTGAGAGGGCGGAGCGGTTTGCCAGGGCATTGCGGGCCTCGCTACCACACCTGTTTGCTACAGACACCTATCTCGACCGTGCTGGCGTGGGGGCAACGGAGGTCTACCATGGGCTCAACACCGCGGTGTGCGATATGCTAGCAGGAAGCAAGTAAGCCTCGGGGGGGCGGGGAGTGGAGTGTGGAGTGGGGTGGGGAGGGATTCCACTATGAGTAAAAGCACTGGGATCTGGCGAAGCGGGTAATGGCATCGTTTTGGGGCTGGCTGGGGTGCGTGTACGCAGGGGAGTAGGGCAAGGGAGTAGGGCAAGGGATATAAATGCATGGAAAAGAAACCGCTCCCATGGACTAGCTAGCTGAGAGGATCTATTACTATTCCTTTGTGGCTGTGCATCCCTGTAGGGGCTCACTGACGGGGTCGCATGAGGATTATCCCATGGCGGCACCAAGTGTAATCGTAGTTCTCAAGGGCCACAAGCTTGTGTGGATCGCTCCCGGCTCGTTCTGCACCCTGATTGAGAACCCTAAGTACAAAAAGGCGGACATTGACCTGTTGGTGCGGTCCATGAGCACAGTGGACCCAGCGCTCCTAGCATCTCTGTGCTCTGTGTTTGGCGGGGAGGTATTGGAGCTCAGAGACAATGAGGTCGGGGTGGTGCCGCCCTGCTGTGTCCATGCGGCATACAACGTGGATGCAACGGTATCCGTAAATTACACGGTTTGCAGCCAGGCGCAGTGGCTGGCCTGCGTGCAGGCGACTGCCTTGACCTGCCAGGAGGAACGTGCCGCTGCAGCGGCAGCGGCAGCTGCAAAGCTGGTCGGCAGTAAGGACGAGGGGCTCGTCCAGGAGTCTGCTCAGCGGCTGCTGCGGCGTGCTGCAGAGACCGGGGGTTCGGAGAGCTTCGAGGGGTGCGTGGTCCTTTTCAACAAGGGCTACATCGCGTGGATGGAGAACCGCATCAGGGCGGAGGTGGCAGTAGCAAAAGCGCTGCAGGTACGTCTTTCTACACCTAGGATATGACGTGCTGTAATACTTGCTGTAATACTTTCTGCACGGTTACTTGTGTTGAGTTGTTTTAGCAATGGGGGAATTGCTATCTCCTGCGACACTCCTGCAAATTTTAGCGCATTGAGCTTTGCACTCCCTCCTGCGATCCGCCGTGCAGAAGGAGGAGGGTGGCATTGCCCGCATGGGTGAGGGCTTGACTGCTCTATACAAGCGCAGGCTGGATTCCACGGTGCGCATTGCCACCATCCGGTCTTTGCTGGAGGATGGAGGCGGGGTCAACTCTCTGCTGGCGACCGGAGCCACTGTCCAGTGGCGGCAAAAGATGTGCAGTTTGCTGGGGGGCATCGCAACACCAGCTAGCACGGCTCAGGCTGGCGGGAGCTCCAACAGCTCGGGAACCTGCGTGGAGAGCAAGCAGCGTGGGGAAGGCGGTGTGCGGGGTCGAAAGAGGAAGTGCATGGCCTAGGGGGAGGTGGCATGTACAATGCATGGGAGGCAGGAGTCATGGTAGGTCAGGCTAGGTTAGACAGGGTAGGCTAGGTTGGGTTAGGCTAGGCTATAGGTAGGGCAACTAGGACCTCGAATTTGCATTTTTGCAGGGAGTGTTACTTGTGTGTGCCGGGCCAAACATGGTGACTTGTGCATGCTGTGGTGCCGAATGTATTGTGTGCCAGTATCGTGTCACCACGGCCGCTTACAGCGGGTCCGCCGGCATGGCTTAGGCTTTAAAATGCTTTATTAGACCGCGTGCAGAGATCGCGGGTGCACTGTTGGCGTGCGTAGGTGCGTGTGTGTGCAGGACCAAACATGACTTGACTTGTGCATGCTGGGCCTAAGGTACTTTGTATCATGCCAGTCTCGTGGCACCACGGCATGCAGACACGTAGGTATAGAGCAGTATGTATTGTAGGGTTACGCTATGGTTAGGTAGGCCTGTCCGTGCAGTGTATGTTAACTTAAATATTGGCAAAATATTGGCCATGCTGGCATGAGGGGCCGGTTTCTTCGTATGAGAGTCGTGTGGTGATGTGGTGGCGGAACGTGAAGTGACCTGCCATTGGGTGACGGGTCCTTCCGTGCTTTTCCCAGAGCACACTTTGGATGAGTTGTGTATGTAAGGTACCACCTGTCCATGCCGCATGGTACTAAATTTGCGTAAACCTGTCAGAACAATTTCATAAGGACTCCTGTAGCACGTCGTATACCTGCATTACACCTGTTCTCGGCTGGGGATACTCCGTATTATGGGCCAGTGCCAGGATACGGACGGGTGTCCCAATTTTACGAATCGTGCCAGATGGAATACGGAAAACAGGGAGTCAGAGTGCGTGTGTGCACATGTGTGCACTTTAGGTGGGGCGTGGATTTTAACACAATATAGGACTTAAATACACCCAGTGAGAGGGTTAGGTGCATGTCTGTGTGAACACCATTCGTAAAGCCCACATGGCCTAGAATACGAATGGTTTGGCCTAGATTACGAATTCTCCCCAAAATACGAACGCTCCGTTTTCCCAGAGTGCAACCGTCTGATGACAAGGACATGTCAGAACTGCGCCGACGAGTGCAGCAAATTGGAGAAGAAATAAGAAAGGCAATTGGAGAGGTACGGAAAAAGGGAGCCCAGATGGCCGCGAAAAGGTTCCGAGCAGTCCTAGCAAAGCGTGCGAGACAGGCGCACTGATGGGTGTTTAGTACGGAGGACCAGCCGAAGGGCATCCCCGCCGTACGACACCCGTCAGACGGCCAGGTAAGAACCAACCCAGAGGGAATACTCGACGCACTGCATGTATACTTCAGCAACCTCGCCAAACCAATGTCCGGTCCCAAGACAGGCAAGTACAGACCAGAGGAGGCAAAACGCGACTACCCCTGGCTAAGCACCAAAGCTGACGACCGCATGGGTGAGGGGATCTTGCAAGGTGCGGACCCCACAGCGCACTCCCTTCTACCAGGCATGGCAGATCACGTTACCTTCCAGGAATGCCTGAACTCACTTGCGCGAAATAAAGCACCGGGACCAGACGGGATACCGAATGAGCTCCTACAAACGCTCCCAGCGTGCCTGAAACAGGCCATACACAGCCTCATGCTCGTCATGTGGGTGAAATCAGAAACCCCCCTGGCCTGGACGACCTCCGACACGGTCCTACTACACAAAAAAGGAGATCCCCTCAACATCAAGAACAAGCGGCCCATCGCCCTCGCAAATACTCTTTACAAGCTATGGACAAGCATGATCACTGTTAACACAGTCATGTTCAGCCCCATAGCACGAATCTTCTCAGACGCACAAGAAGGTTTCCTGCAAGGTCGCAATACAGAACGGCAAGTTCAGAACCTACTGCATGTAATTGAAGATGCAGCCCTAACAGGACAAAACCTCTTCCTGCTATACACGGACTACAGCTCCGCCTTCAACACAATAGACCAGGACAAGCTCCTAATGATTATGTACGACCTGGGCTACCCCACCGACCTAATTGACACGGTAAAGGGTCTCTACAGCACCGCCAGAACGCGCATCAAAACGGAGCACGGGCATACAAAAGACATCCTGATAGAGCGGGGGACTGTGCAGGGTGACACGCTGTCGCCCATCCTCTTTATCATCTTCCTAGAGCCCCTCCTGAGGTGGTTACACTATGGCGGGAGGGGATACAGATACGGATGCCTCACAGACAAGGAGAATGATCAATTCAACTTCAGCTCCGGTGCTTACGCGGACGACATGGCAACAGCCACCAACACAGTGTCAAACATGCGGATACAATGCCGGAAGATATACCAATACGCCAAGTGGGGCGGACTCAAAGTCAACGTAGACAAATGCCACCTGACAGGCATTCTACATGGACGACCAGACAGCGAACTTAGAGGGGGCCCCGACAGCAAGCCCTACCGGGCCACCCTTGAAAGAATGCTTAAAGATCAAATCCAGATAGGGGGTGAAAGCATCCCATACCACCCACCGGCCACGGCCTACAAGTACCTAGGCGTCTACATCACCCTTACGCTGAACT